CTAATCCCTTAAATGAGTAGAGAAACAGAACCAAATTCTTAGCAAGCATTGTCACGCTCATGTGGATAATTGAATTTCTTCCCTCCAATTATTCTGATTCTCTGGAAAACAAGAAGAAAGGAAAAATATTAGTCGATGGACCCTGTTCTTTCCCTGCCTTTGGTCGGCCTTTTGATTTTGTTTATGCCTACGTTGTACACAGTGAAAATATATCATTGACTGCTCTTCATTTTATGTTTGTAACAGGGGTTCAGCTTTCAGAGAAGGTATTTTTCCAGGGATTTGAAATTGCCTGCACTTAATCAGCTAAGGATCTGCCTATTTGTGCTAATTCAACCAAATCGTCTCCAGTGATATCTTGGGGATGTTTTCAAAGCTCTCGTGGCTGGTGATATGTTAATTAGTGCTGCCGTATTCATGGAAGGTCTGTTAAATTCAAACACCGTGCGTCCCTGGTGGGACTGGGCTCATGGGCAATGAAAACAAAGGTCCTTGAATCCATAAGGATTAAGAAATCACTTACAATCATCTGTCAGTGTATTTTCTCTTTTGCCAGAGAAAAGGTCATAGCTTCTGAAAGCAGTTGCTGATCCAAAATGGGTTCAGTCCACTGATCTAGAGACCTCAAGACTTTTCACTTCACAGGGGTGGGTGTCTAACTCTGAGGGGCAGGCCTTCCCCACAGAGTAGGGTTCCTTCTCTGTGGCCCCCTGGCTTGTGCCCATGGACCCCTGTCTGCTTTCATTCTGTGATACAATGTATTGGGGCAGGAATTATGTCCCTTATTTGGGAAAGAGGAAACCAGAAAGTCACTGTGTCACATCAGGTCACCCTGTGATCCAGTGGGAAGGCTGAGCCTTGGACTGGACCGTCTGTTCCCCTGAGGTCCTCATTCTCAAATGCAGCAATGTGATGCCCCTATGGCTAAGATGAAGTGGGGTGGGGGCACCACAGGCTGAGCTCCAGCAGGGGCCTCCATCTTCGTGTGGATTCTTAGATGCTTGTGTTCAAATGTTAAAAAAGGGTTTTTTGATGATGGTCCGCTTTGAAGTGATTCCTTTCTTCCCTGTAGCCCTGTACTCAGCGCTACAGAACCTCCCTGGGTTCTGTACTCAGTGTTAATAAGTATTTCCTAGTTAGACTTAGAAATAGTAGGTCAACTGAGTTAAGAAACACCATTTCCATGTTCACATTTTCATGTGAGTGGGAATGATGGTAGAAATGAGACTTCTGAGCCTTCTCTGTCTCTCTTGTCACTCTCCGAACCCTCTCTGCCACCTGCACATCTCTGAACTAAACATCTGGGAGTTCAAGCCCCTAAATGTCCTTGCAGTAACTGTTCCCACTGCCTGATCTGACGAAGAGAGGAGCAACGCTCCCCCCTCCCCACCAGTCCACCAAGGGGCCCAGCTAAGGGGCGGTCTCTGGAGGCAGAGGACCTTGGCTTGACTCAGGGCCCTGTGACCTGGGACCAGCTCCTCCATCTCTCTGCTCTTCAAGCTCCTCATTTGTTAAGGGGGTGATCTCTACTTCACAGGGCTTTTGTGACGATTGAGACTATTAAGCTAAGTCCTCAGTATCACCTACTAGCCAGTGTCATTGATGTTTTCTCTTTCTGACCTTGAAACCAGCCATTCCATCCCTAAATGTCCTTCCTCTTGCCCAGTCTGACTTCACAGGTGTCAAAACCTTTCCTATCTCAAGAAATCTCCTGGGGTCTCGTCACTGTGCCCTACTCGTATGCCCATACCAGGTGCTGGCATTTCACCTGATGGCGTGTGGTGGTTTAGCGCTAACCAGGGGAGGCAAGAAGATTCATTGCTCAGGATGCCTCTGAACTCTCGTGATTTATTTGGACTAATTTTTCTCATTGCAAACTCATTAGTGGTGGTATACTTAACTTTCACAAGTACAGCAGGGGCTCACAGCTCCCACCCCTTTCCCACAGGAGAGGGACTCACACCTTGGGAGCCCAAGACGAGGCGGGCTTCTTTACCTCGGTTCACAGCGCCCTGCACTTGCTGTTCCCGTGGTGCTGGGTTGTGCTGACAGTGTCTCATCCCTGTGGCTCTCTGGACGTCATTTGCAGGAGATTTGCAGGAGATTCACAGTCGATCCCTCTTTGTTGTTAACAAGAAACAAATGCAGCCTTCAGTGCTTATTAGAGACTGTGCAGCTCTGCTCCTTAGATTTAAAGGAATTTATTCATGTCTTCTCTGTCTGTCGTCCCTTAAATTATAAAATTCTAAAGGGAAGAGTTGGGTTTTTGGGTTAGTTTTCTTTTATACTACAGAGATCTAGGTCAGCCTGTGAGCTCAGAGGAAGCCCAAGGAGGCAGTGGTGCCTACTGGCTAGCCCAGGGGACACCTGGGTGGCCTCTGCAGCAGTGTGGCTAGGTTCCCGCACAGCCCTCTGCTCTGCTTGGCTCATGGCTTTAGTGTTCATGGGCTCGAAATCCCAGATATTTAGTTCAATTTTCCATCCAGCCTCTGCAGCCTGAGTTGTTAGATGTTGTCAACCTTAAACAGACAAAAACACCCCCCCTGTATGTACATATATACTCAAACACGTGCAAACATATATGAAGGCTGTCTGATATCTGAGGCAAGCAAGACTGTACCGCATGGCACTCGTATGCTTGCGCACGCATGTATGTGCACACACATGGTGCAGATATTGCACAGTGGGTATTTAGCTTTGATTTGTGCAAATAGAGCCTAGAGGGGTTGCACTCCAGCTGAGATGGTTGTATGCTCCTCCAGAGGCCAGTTTGTGCACTGAGGCAGCTGACGGGGGGAAGGCTGGCAGGCCTGTTTGCAGAGGATCAATACAAGGCCTCTTCTCCCTAACGGAACAGAGAGCCAGCTGTCCCAGGAGAAAGCCCATCAGGACTGGGGAGGGCTGCACCTGTCTCTGGTGCTTTCTCACTCTTCAAGCCCTGCTGGCTAGATTTGAGTAAACAAACCCAAAATGATTTTCAGGGGAAGTGTTTTCTTTTCCTGTTTTGGAAATATAAAACAGTATTCCACTTGGGCAGTTCACCTGAAAAGGGAATCAAAGATGCGGTCAAGTTTATAGACTGAGGTTATGGTCTTTAAATAAGGCACTGACAGGGTGGGATAAACCGCCCTTGCTTTGCATTACAGCAAGGAATGAGGTCAGAGAGAAAGGAATCCCCGAAATTGCCCTTGTTTCTTAGTTGGACTTTGGGAAAATTTTCTGCAGCTTTCTGCTTGGAGACCAGAGTTCTTTTGCTTGTGGAAGCTTTGAGTAGAGAAGGGAAGGAGGGACACAGAGCTTGCCTCCTACCTTGCAGGTCGATGACCACTGGCCTCAGGGAGGCATGTCCCCCATCAGGCTCTGTGGTTTCCCCAGCCGAGGAGCCACGTAATTTATGCTCCAGACCAGGATGCTTTTGAGAGTGAAAGGGGCACTAATAACCCCCGTGAGATGGTGAGCCAGACCGAGATGTGTGGTTACCCTGCTCATGGTGGGTTCCCTAGAAACCTGTTCTGGTGACCCGTCTGTGACATCTGGGTTGTGCTTTGCTCACTCGTGGTTGAAAAACTTTTTTCCTTCAACCATGCTCACTCATGGTTGAAAAACCTCCATGTGTTTTAGATTCACTCAAGACACCCTGCCTCTGGGAAGCCTCTCCCACAAATCCACCCGAGCTCTGACCCCCAGCTTGGCTGCTCGGCCTCACCGTTGTTCTCCCGTATTTTGATCCAGGCATTTTACCCCAGAAAATACCCTAGGAATAAACAAATGACCTGCGATACCAGGGGTGTTTGGGACGCCCTGACCCTGAGAAATGATACCCTTCAACTGTGTTCCCAAAAGGGACTTTATATTTATTTGAGTATTTATTTATTTATTTATTTATTTTTAGAGAGAAGGGAAGGGAGGGAGAAAGAGAGGGAGAGAAGCATCAATGTGCGGTTGCCTCTCACACGCCCCTTACTGGGGACCTGGCCCACAACCCAGGCATGTGCCCTGACTGGGAATTGGACTGGCGACCCTTTGTTTCACAGGCCAGGGTTCAATCCACTGAGCCACGCCAGCCAGGGCCCACAAGGGGGTTTTTTAAAAGGAGAGTTAGTTCATGAAAGTCAGGGGCTGGGTACCAAAGTCAACCCATGAGGGTCAGAATGTTCTACGGCACCCAGGCTGCCTTTTGTCTGTCTCCGGCCATGTGATTTCCCATCTCTGTCTGTCTTTTGGTGTCTGCCTCCTTCTGTCCCCAGCCTGCTTCCCTGTTTCATTCGTGCACGGTATGTCATGGCTGCCCTTACACTGTGTGACCTTTTGGATTGAGAACCCACACCGAAGTCCTGGGCTTCTTCCCCATTCTAGTCCCCCATCCCTGGGGAAAGAATCTCATTGGCTGAACATGGCATGTGAAGTGGTTCCCCCTGAGACATTGTGGCCAGGAGAGCAGTTACATATGAGACTTCTGTGGACTGTGGGAGAGAAGGGCATGTGACAACCACCTCAATCCACACCCCTAGCACTTAGGACAGTCTATGAGTATTTTCATACACCCTCTCCTTTAATCCCCTCCAAACCCCCATGAAATAGGTACTGTTATCCCATTTTGTGAACCAGGAAACTAAGACACAAAGAGGTTAAATAGTTTGTGTGCCAGCAATCTAGTTCCAGAATCTGTGCTTCTGACCACTACTCAGTTTTGCTTTTTCAGATATGGCATTGCTAATGTACTTTTTACACCTTCCTTACCCTTTTCAGTACCTTTACATTGGGCACTGAATGTCTCTTCGTGAATGTTTACTGAATGAATGAATGAATGAATGAATGAATGAAGGAGTGAAGGGATGAAGAAATGAAGGAACACAAAGAAGAATCCACAGTCCATTCAGAAGTTAGGAAGTAGCTTATATCCTGGCCTTGGAAGCTTGCCCCTGCTGCTGCTTGCCCAAGTTCAAAGTACTCACTTATGTTCAAAGTGCTCTCTCTCCCACCCCTCTCTTTCTGCTCAGACAAGAGCGAGAATGGCGAGGCGTACCAGAGGAGGAAGGCGGTGGCCGCCGACCTTCCGGAGGGCCCTGCTGACCCCATGCCTTCTCCAGGGAGCCTGGCCCCCCCCAGCGGCAGCAGCTGGAGGAGAATCGCACTGCTCATCTTGGCCATCACCATACACAACATCCCAGGTGAGGTCTTGCCACCTGCCTGCAGGGTGAGTCTGTTGCCCGGCTGGAAAGGGGGCCTGGGAAGTCGGGAGGATGCAGATCCTTTTTTGAGGGGGTCAGGGGAGGAATTGCTAATCTTTCCTGGCTTTTTTGGGGGAGTTACTTCGAGAATCTAGCGGGATCATTGTATGTTAAAAATTCCTGTTCCAATCACTTCCAGCAATTTCACTCCCGTTTCCATCAGGGAGCCCCTTTCTGTATGTATTTGATACCGAGACCTTTGGAGCCTAAGTCCGTAACTGCTGCCCGACTGCTGTGGAATGAGCCTTTCATAAGCAGGGAGTCTGTGGTTCCGCTTCACGCTCCTTCACAATGCTGAATTCAGCACAGTTTAAATTGACGTTTGTCTTACCTGCTTTCGTTAAGTGGGACATCTTTCTGAAATATCCGTACCAATCCTTTACTTCTGAGCATTTTTGAGGAATTGGTTTTGTGTCTTTGGATTTATTTTCATTGAAAAAAATGTATTAGTGTTCAATTTCAAAAAATAGTACGTGTTTTATGTGGCATAACTAGAAAACACAGATAAGAATAAAAAAAGAATAAAGATATTATAAAAAATAAATTGGGGGAACCTGAGGAACTCTTTGGGTTACTTTTTGGAATTCTAGCTCTACTACTTACTCGCTGGTATATCTCGACAGGTTACTTGGGGTTCACTTGGTTTCCTCTTCTGTGAAATGGGGATAAGGTTGCCACTGAGATAACTGGGGTATTCTTTACAAATAAACTTCATTTATTTTGATAATTAAAGAAGATGCTATCTATGTGTATATCATATGTGTATATATCTGATAAGTAAAATGTTACATATGTAGGTGCTATATATATATGTTGAGTACAGTAGTTGGGCCTTATGAGCACTTGAAACCTGCCGTTATTAGCATCAGTAATACTCCTATTCTCCTCTCCAGCCATGACTTCCTCAGTCTTGAGGTCTTAAACATTTTGATCCATTTTTTATTGTATTGGAACTATAGTTTGAGCAGTAACATTGCTCAGGGAGTATCTACAGATGACATATTAGCTGAGTCCCTGTAGAGTTCCTAGTGTCAACCTGTTGCCATGTTACAGGAGCAATAACTTGAGCGGGCGAAGCTGGCTAGAGGCCCATATTTCTCTCTGAGGCTGCTGTGGATGTGATCCCATTGCTCTCGGCTTCACATGTGGGAGCAAAGGCCGTGGCCAAGCCGCGTCCCTTCCTCCGGTGGTAACTCCATGGTCTTAGGTCTGCACGAGAGGATTGTTTTTGCTTGTGTTTAAAAAACAAAAGAGGCAATGTTTCATATATTCCAGTGTATATATTAAATCTACCTGTGTTTCCCCGTCACTTTTTACAGTCTCCCTCCAGGTGAGGAGCACTTTTCTTGATTATGCTTGCTCTGATCTTAGGAATTACTGGCATGTGATCGTGCAGGCTAGTTTGCCCAAGTTTCTTCTGCAGCCTCTGCTTCTCATTCCCCTCTTGGCTTTTTCTCTTTGGGTGTAAATTTTTTTGGTTGGTTTTCTAGAACTTGCTATTAAGTATGCCTTCAGATGGAGTCTTATGGAGGACACCTGCACACAAAGCTGGCCACGTAGATTTGCCTTGGCAGGGGGTCCGGCCACACTCACCCCCCCAGTGTTTTAAAGAGCTCACTGGAAGACCAGGGGCGCTGCAGAGGGCGACCTCAAAGTCTTTGCAGTCTCTTTCATGCTGTTCAGAGCTAATCATTAGAGAAGAGAAATTACTTGTGTTGCCTTTTTGGTCTTAATAGTAGCTGTCTTTCTGCTGTTTAAGACCTCTTCTTTAATCAGTTGGAACAGAATAAAGATATGTCTAGGCATGAAGGGGTGTCCAACCATTTTGGCGTCTCTGGGCGACGCTGGAAGAAGGAGAGTTGGCTTGGGCCACACATTAAATACACAAACACTAATGAAAACAAACAAACAAAAAAACCCTCACAATGTTCTAAGTAAATTTACGATGTTGTGTTTGGCTGCATTCATAGCCATCCTGGGCCATGGGTTAGACACCCCTGGTAGTGGGTCTAGGGCCAAACGAGATAACTATACTGGCTTGCATGGGGACTCTCTGTCTCCCTGCAGAGCAAAAAGTTGTTCTCAGATCCAGCTTTCATAACGATGGGCATAACAATGAGGACCCAGGAATAAGTTTTCCTCTGAGGGAGCCCTTCTCATACAGCTGCCCCTACCCGACTGTGTCCCCACGTGCTCAATTGGAATTGTTCCCTGAATTCAGACTGGACTTAGGGGGGGTGAGAGTGGAAGCAGGGGGACCTGTGAAGGATCCAGGTGTAGACAGCGGTGGCTAGACCAGGGCAGTAGTGCTGGAAGTGGCGGGGAGGCCTCCCATTCAGGAATCTATTGAAGGTGGAGCCGATGGGATGGGTTGGGTGTGGGATGTGAAAAAAAGAGGGCCCAGAGGGACCCTGGGATTTCAGGGCTGACCGGCTACAAAGATGGAGTTGCCATCGACTGAGAGGGGAAGTTTGCAGCAGGACCAGGTTTAAGGTGGACCACCGGGAATTCAGTTTTGGACCCTGAGATTTCGTTGCGGTTAGACATTCAAGTGGAGATGCTAGCAAGGCAGCTGGATGGCTTGATTTGGGGACCAATACAGCTGGGGACTAGAAGGATAAATTTGTGAATCACTGGCACATAGATGTTATTTGAACCTATAACACTGGATAAAATCACCAGGGGTCTAAATAGCCATGTCTCCGAAGACCTCACTGGGGCTCTTTCCTGGAGTCTCGGGCATCTAACTCGTCTAAAGAGAGGATTGCTCGCACATAGCTCCCATCAGCAGCTCCACGCCCTTTGCTGAGAACTGTTTCCAGAACTTGTCTGTCACCAGCTTACCTTTGTGTGGGGTGGGGAGGCAGGGTTTAGCAATAACCCACAACCTTTGGACCAACTGAGCTCACCTTTGAAAAGGTCTCTTCTTTAACATTATCCTTTCTAGTTTATTAAAAACTTAACTAGAGCTTTGACATTCCCTGAGTCTTGGTTGTAAGATATTTTCCAGTGTGATAGAATGGATAATTGATTTTTTTGTCTTTGCTAGTTCAGTTTTCTATGTTCTAGGATGACATTTTGTTTAAAAAAATTTTTTTAATATAGAAGTAAAAGCTTGTTAGAGAGTGCTCTGTCTCCTGGTGGTTCCTGGGGTCCCAGGACACCCATGCAGGCATGTGAATGCGCCCAGGGCACTCGAGTTAATATTTGATTCTTTGTCTTCTGTGGCTCCCAGGTCCCCTCAGAATCTGGTCCGAGCTGTGGCCCTCTTACCATATGATGCTGCGCATAGTGTATTCACAGGTAGTTTTGGGCGCTCACAGACCTCGTGAAGACCATCTGTCCACTGGTCTGGAGCAGGAGAGAACCCTGCTTTAGAGATACAGATGTCCAGGTGTGCAGGCAGTTGAAGTGTTTCCAGAAGAAGTGGTAAGGACCAGTGAAGGCCAGCAGCCGCGAAGGTGGATACAAATGCCCCTAAGGGTGGTGACGCCTCTGTCCTCCTCATTCCTCGTCCTTCTCAGGGGCTGGGGCGCTCGAGTCCTGTGGAAAACATGTCCCAAGGAAAGGATATGTTTTTATGACAGTGACCCCAGACTGAACACAATGTCTCTTAAAGTGGATTTCACTCAACAGACTACAGACTCAAGGGCTCCGGCCTTCCAGAGGTTCCTGGGCCTGAGGAAAACAGGCTCCCTTTCTGTATCTGAGTGGAATTAAAAATCAAGTAGCAATTGAGTTCCTACTAATCTCTTTTCATGAGTAGTTTACGGTCTCCACAGGGCACTGCTATCCATTGCTTTGTACGTGAGAAAGTTATACTTAGAGCTTAAAAGGATTCGAGAGGTAATCTCATTCAAGCACTCACTGCTCCATTGGACAGTATAGGGGAGGGGCACGTGAAATTACTATGGTGATTTTTTCTGGCCTAGCATTGCGTGATGCTGGGAAACATAATACACACTGTGCATTACTGATCTCATTTATTTAGCGAAGTTGGTCACTCCTTCTTCTGTGACTCCTTGCTGTATCCTGTGCCTCCTTCTGTCATGATATGGCAATTATTCTCTGAAGGGCAGTTATTTAAACATGTTTGTTTTCCCCGATAGATGGGGTTTCTTGCAAGAAGGACCATGCCATCTCTTTTTGGATCCCATGTTACCATTCATATTGAAGAGCAATAGATATTCCAGTGCCTGCATTGACTGGTGCATTTTGTCCCCAACCACTACTCCAGGAGAGGAGAGACCATTCGGTAGTCAGGTGTCCCAGTTCCCTTTACCTTTGCCACCAGGTGGGCTAAGGGACAGCATTTAGCTTCTATGAGTCTTTACGACATAGTGGGCTTTCCTTTGTCTTTGCAATGATTTATGAAGGTCCGTAGAAGAAGAGGCTAGGGGAGTCTCATGCTCATTATTTTTCTTTCATCAGAGTTGAGTCCAGTTCACGTTGCTGGTTGCTGCTAGAACCCAGAGAGAACTGGGGGTCACTGCTTGTGACTCCAGAACGGCATGACAATTGATCTCAATTATTTGGCTTGTCTTTGTGGACATCTCCTCATAGACTACATTTCTGCCTTTAAATGAAATGGTTTAGATTTTTAATCAGAAGTGATTTTGCTTCAGGGAACAAAACCCCAGATATTTATACACTAAAATATTAACAGTAGTTGGTTCATCCTGGGAGTATGGCTGATTTTTATTTTCTTCATGTTTTTGTGAGATTTATAACTCTGCTTATCTATAATGAATATTTACGATGCATGTGATCAGATGAAAATATTTTTTGGAAGGGCTAGCTCTGTTACCTAACTGCCTCAACACCCCAACTCCCAGCACACACACGAAAGAGTGTATGTAGATCTATTCCTTTATGTCTCAGATAATCTTATTGGGGTTGTTTTAACCCCAGGTTGAAAACAAAATGAAGTACTATATTAG